AGAGGCTGAAGCACATAGAAGTTTAGAACCTCCCCAAGAGTCTGGGCACAGACCATGGTCTTAATATCTCTGCCAGAGAAAATATTGGTCATTTTATTACATTATCATATCTATATGTATAAAAGCCTAAGCGACCGTTATGACCGAACCACCGGAATGACTGGTCAACCAGTCGTTATGATGTGCACTGACCATCATGGGGGCAGACGCTCAATGCAGGAGCTGCCCCTTGGTGGTCAGTGCACTCCCACAGCCAATCTTCTGAGGGTGGCCAACCTCCCCCAGTCCCTTCCCCTCCCCCCACCCGGCCGGCCAGCCGGCCAACTTCTGCGGTCCCTCCCCCGAGCCCACCAACCTCCCATGGCCCCTCTCTTTAGCCGGTCAACCTCCTGCAGCCCCGATTGGGACTGGGTGAGATGGCCCCAATCGACCCCAATCACCAGCCAGGCCAAGGAACCCCACCTGTGCACAAATTCATGCATCAGGCCTCTAGTACATAAATATGCACTTTATTTTCCAATAAATTTTCCTGAGAAATTCTACTTTTCAGTTGTTATTTTTTAAAATTATATTTATTTTCATCAGAGAGAATAGCAATTATTTTTAAAATTATTAATATAACAGAAAATTATTTTTTAATAATTGCTAATCAAATTAAATTATTCAATTAAATCATATTTTTCACTATTTAGCCAGTCCAAATATAGTTTTGGTTTATTTTTTGGTATATTAATATTAATAATATATTTATTTAATATTTAATAAACAAATGAATATTTAGAAAAATTAAGGTGAAAATTACTAAAATCCTTAACTAAAATTTGCTCTTTTCCTCTAACAAATTCACATTGGTGAAAAACAATTCAGCAGACTGTGGGAAGTATTTAAAAACCATAGACATATTATAGCTATGTGTTTTAGCCTGAGAACTGTTTTTTAATTTATATTCCTGTATTTGAATATTGATTTTTCATTATTTGAAAAGTATGTTTTCTAACATTTCAAAAAGTTCTACCAGTTTCTTACTAGTAGTTTATGTAATCAGTGATGATAGTCATGTTATTCTATCCATATTTCCATGTACAAGTTATTTAAAGAGACTATAGATACTTTTAATAACTTTTAATGCGTAAAACAGTACATTTCCAATATGTGATTTAAATTTTTTTAATGCAATAACTGAAGATAACATAATGCAAGTATTAAAATCAATCTAATTTCTTAGTAAACCACACAGACATTAAAATTTTTTAATAATTTATTTCTAAGTTATCCAACTAGTCACTGTCTTGCGTGTTTTTCTTTGCTCCCTAAAGACCCAGTTCCTTCACTGTGCATTTACTGCAAACACCTCTCCTGGTGTTTAATTGCACGTTGATGGAGACAAATGTTCCATTTGCCATTTGCTTCACATCTCACCTTGTGTGTGCGTGTGAGCAGCATGGTACTGTGATTTATGGAGCTTTCAAGCAGATGTCATTGCAGTGACAATTAATGTATGGTTCCTGCTGCTGTGTACAATAATTGCTTCTGGAAATTAGATATTATTCTTAATTTTCTTCTCCATTTGTCAGGTAAAGGTTTGTTGTCATAGCCACCATGACACAGCAAGTGACCTTGCACACTATGCTACCCCCATGGGAATAAGGAAGTGCCATGGTTCAACCAGCCCCAAACTCTAATGCGTGTAACAGGCTGCCATAGATCCGTTAGCAGACTGAGACGAATCCTGCCACTTGGAGAACTGTGTTTTACTGACTTAGCTTTTCTGAGATCAGATGAGTGAGACAAAAGTCACATTTTTTAGATTTTTTTAAAGTGTTTAGAAGATTTTGTTGGAGTCAGACAGGAAAATTGGAAATTTCAGAAGAATGTGTGTAATAGTGGAAGAAAATTTTTTTAAAATACTATACAGCAGAAAAGAATCCTGCTATAAATGTTTGTATTTTAACATGTCAAAGTAAAATACATTTTTTACTTTTTCTCCTTTAGAATAATCTCCGTAGAATTACCAGATGATGCAAGACAGTTTGGAATTCAGTTCAGATGGTGGCAACCGTATCATTCTTCCCAAGGAGAAGATGTATGGGCTATTGATGAGATTATCATGACATCTGTCCTATTCAACAGCATTAGTCTTGACTTTACCAATCTTGTGGAGGTCACTCAGTCTCTGGGATTCTACCTGGGAAATGTTCAGCCATACTGTGGCCATGACTGGACCCTGTGGTAAGAACTTCATCTTTGTTCTTGTTGTTACAATTTGCATTGAGGATTAGAACACAAGGAGGATCTTCCAATGCAGCTAGCACTTAGTCATTTGTTGACAAATATTTACTGAACATGAACCATTTCAAAGTCGTTATTCTGTCTACAAGTAAGCTGTCTTTAGAAGGAGGACCCAAAAAACCTGATAGGTTTAAATAAATAGAAAATTTCACCATATTTATTCATCTCATTTTCATTTACCACCATTACATATAAAAACTTTCCTCAATAAGTGTTAATAACTAAAGTGAATAACATATCCTCCCTTCATGAAGACCCTCCATAATCATAGTGAAATGTGAAATCACTATAATGCTATTTTAATAAAACAATAATTAGTTCTATTTTAATGCTTTCATCAAGTCCAAGAAGATTTTCCATCTTATTTGTTAATGTGGATCTTCTTTTTAATCCATTTTATCAGCCATATTAACTCATCTGGTTAATATCAGTGGGGTTTCAAGATTGTGGTATGTCTTAGTCTTACATTCTTAGATATCTCCCCCATGGTCATATGCAAACTTAATTGTACATTAATTAATCTTAATTATACATTAAGCAGTAAATAAATAATTTAAGACTATGATTAGAACTTCAAGAATAGTAATAGGATGACACAACAATGATTAATTAGACAAGGCTTGGCTGTTCTAAATAGAGAGGAGGAAGCTATATTCATATACTAGTAGTTCAAATAGTGGGTATGATACATTCCATGTATTAGAAAGTGGAAGAACTAGGAAGCTCCACACACTGAATATCTGAAGGAAGAGCAGTCCAGCTTCGGGAAACTTTGTGGTTAAAGTCTCCAGAACAAGAGTGGCCATGGCATGTTTGAGGATCAGGAAGGAAGCCAATGGTGATGGAGCCCAGGTAGCAAATGTGAGGAGTAAAAGCCAAGAGATGTGCATAGGCCGGGTCACATTGGGCCTTCTACACCCAGAAATCCTGGATTAAATCTCATGTCTGCTTAATTCCAAAACCCATAGCCTTCACCACTATGCATTCTGCCCCCTCCTCTCTCTCTCTCTCTCTCTCTCTCTCTCTCTCTCCTCTTTCAGTTTCTTTAGGGCTTTAAACATGATTGAGGAAGAATTTTCTAAGAGACTTTTACTTTCTATTGAGTCATGGTCAAACCAATTTAATTTCTCCAGATGAAGCTTGCCGAAAGCTATTCACCACAGTGGTCTCCAGAGAGCATATCATAAGTAACCCATCAGTGACCTTATCATAATTAGAGGTAAATTTTACACACCATTGCACAGAAAATTACCTTTGATGGGAATGGTGTAGGGACAGTCCCATCTCGCACACAGCAGGCTAAACGTCTAGCATCAGAATGACAGCTAATGGAATGGAAGCACAGCCGATCACTTCTGCCGCAAGCACTGTCAAACCAGATACAATGAAATTTCTAAGCAGCAAAACATGAAAAGCGACTGTGTTTTCTCTAGTTGATAGCCTCAGCTGCTTGTTTTCATGGATATTCTTTTTTTTAATCCTGGAGCCTTCAAAAAAAAAAGAGGTGAAGCAAAATGAGGTTTTTGGAATTTTATGATTTTGAAATTTTAAATTGATCTGAATTAATAGTAATCAAGTTGGTCATATACCGTAAACTATATCCCCCAAGATTATATAGTTGTTTTTTCCACCACTTTTAATACAACAAAGAGTCATATCAGGAATGCAAGTCCTGTATCATGTTTATTTTCAGAAATAGTTAACATCAGCTTAAATAAACTCCAAAGTTGCTGAGCATTTTAATTTAACTCTTGGGTTGAATGCATGATAACAGCAGTTTAATTTCTATGCTTTGATCAAACCCTAAGAACAATATCCTTTCACACAAGTCTGATGAATATTCTTAACCCACCACTGCTTTAATTGGTGGAGATACATTTACTTTGTTAAAGTACA